TGGAAGAGGGATTCAGGAGGCGCCTGCCTTGGCGAGCGCAGGGTGGGGGTGGACAAGGGAGGCGGGGCAGGCAGTCCGGTGCTGAGTGAAGCTGCTGTGCGGATGGCAGCTTCTGTTTAGCTGGGGACCAGATCCAGGGAAGGAGGTGGGAGGGTGGCAAGGCAGCCCCACCTGGAAGCACAGGTTGGGGCCCAGGCCCATGGGTGCACGGCATAGCACCCAGCACATGCAAACTCAATGCCTGCATTTGGGCTCACAGTTAGCTACTTGCTAGTTCTGCTGCCCTCCTAAGATCTGACTGCCAAATAAATTATCCTGGTCTCCTTTTCCCTTTAACTTGTGTGTGTTCTTTTGTGGGCTCGGGAAAGCCTGTTGTCTGGAGACTTGTTACCTAGGGACAATTGCCTGTGGTTTTTCTGCAGTGGAAGCAAGCAGGAAGTTTCTGGTAACTTCCCTGGCCAAGCAGATCTTGTCGTCCCTGGGCTACGAAGCCACCCTCTCCCTCCAGCTTGTCCACCAAGGGTGTGGCTGGATAGGCTAGCCTGCTGTGGTGGTGGGCAGTTCCACAGGAACTTTGAAAATGTAGCAATTTGCCCTGGCTGGCGTAGCTCAGTGGATTGAGCGCGGGCTGGGAACCAAAGTGTCCCAGGTTCGATTCCCAGCCAGGGTACATTCCTGGGTTGCAGGCCATAAACCCCAGCAACCGCACATTGATGTTTCTCTCTCTCCCTCTCTCTATCACCCTCCCTTCCCTCTCTAAAAATAAATAAATAAAATATTAAAAAAAAAAATGTAGCAATTCAAATGTAGGGTGCTGGGTGCATCTGTTGCTTGCAACCAAAATCTCTGCTCAGGATACAGTTGAAAGGACCTGACCTTCCCCTCCTGAGGCTGTTTTCATCATGGTCCGCGCTGGTGTGGGTCAGCCATGATGCCGTGCAGAGAGAGAGAGTGTCCTGGTGGACGGGTGGGTGGGCAGGCGTGTAAGGCACCCCAGGGAGCCTGAGAAGGTCTGTCACTGAAGAGACGCAGGTAAGTGTAATTAATTAGTTGGTTCTTAGGACAGTAATCAGCAACCCCTGGTCCAATAATGCACGTTCCAAGGCATGGTTGGAGGCTCTGGACCAAAGTGGCTTTAAGACCAGCCGAAGGTGTTTGGAGTTGAGTATCCCTTTGCTACGTGACAAGGCAGACCAAACACACTTCCCAAGTTCACAGACGTGGGGCCAGGCCTGGCTCGCTGCAGGCCCCTCTGAGCACTGCCCACGTGGAGTACTGGATTACCATTTAAAACCTTTCCTGTCATTCACGGAAATAGGTATGACAGCCAGTGTCGCACTGCCATGCCATCCCAGGCTATCCTCCTAGAGCTTCCCGGTGCTTCCCGGGTGTGAGCATGGCCCCTCTCCTCAGACAAGGCCGTGGTGGGTGACAGCCCGGGAACAGACCCACGCTTCTGTGGTCAGTTAACGATGAACAAAGGAGACAAGACCACACACTGAGGTGAATGACGGTCTATTCCAGTGACTTTCAGCTGGTGTGCCACAGAATTTTTAAAACATGCAACACCTGACTACTTAGGGGCACTGACTTCTTTTCCCTTAGATTATCAAGTTTAAAAGTGACAACCACCAATACAACAGTAGCCACCTGGTGTGAATGCCCTGTCTTGCACCATAAATATATAGGTCAGATAATAGAGTTGCATCTTATTGGTCACGTGGTGTATAAGGTTGTGTCTGATTGGTTAATTCTTGGTATCAGAAATGCTTACTAGTATAGGCACCTGATCTTTTAAAAAATCACTTTCAAGCAAAAAATAGGCAGTATTTTTTTTGTAAATCAATCAAAAGTTTGCCCCTTTTTTGGTTCAGATAGGCAAAAAATATATTTTTTGGTGTGCTGCTGAATTTTAATTGGTTTATGTGTGCCATGAGATGAAGAAGGTTGAAAATCGCTCTGTTTAGTGAATGGTGTTGGGAAAATTGGCCCGATGTGCAAAAAAATGAAACTGACCACCTTACACCACACACAAGAATAAATGCCAAATGGACTAAAGGCTTAAATGTAAGACTCAAAACCATAAAACTAGATGAAAACAGGCAGTAAAATTTCTGGCGTTTCTATTAGCAATATTTTTTCTGAAATACCTCCTTGGGCAAGGAACACCAAAAAACATGGAACTACATCACACTAAAAAGGTTTTGCACAACAAAGGAAACCAACAAAATTAATCTGAGTGGGAGAAAATATTCTCCAATGATACCTCCAATAACAGGTTAATATCCAAGATTTATAAGTAACAAGTCAACATCCAAAAAACAAAAAAATCCAATTAAAAATTGGGCAGAAGACCTGAATAGACACTTCTCCAAAGAGGACATACAGATGGCCAATAAACCTATGAAAAGATACTCGATGTCACTAATCAGAGAATTAAAACCACAATGAAATATCTCACACCTGTCAATCTGGGCTATCAAATCAACAAGCGTTGGCAAAAATTTGGAGAAAAGGGAACCCCTGTGCACTGTTGGTGGGAATGCAGACTGGTGCAGCCGCTGTGGAAAGCAGTATGGAGTTAGTTACTCCCCAACATTAACAATGGAACTGCCTTCTACCCCGTGATTCCACTTCTAGGTCTATCTGAAGAAACTCAAAACACTAGGGAAATTCAAAGGGAAATATGCACTTGTATGTTCACTGCAGTGTTATAATAGCCAAGATACGGAAGCAACCCCAGTGCCCGTCAGTTGACAAGTGGGGAGAACTGTGGTAGGCATATACAAGGGAATAGGGCTCGACCGGAAAAAAGAAGGCAACCTTAACCAGTTCACGACCATGCAGGACCTACAGCAGGGGTCCCCAACCCCGGTGCTGGTCTAGCCTGTCAGGAACCAGGCCTTGAGCTTGAGGGAAGCTCGCCTGAGCTCCACTTCCTGTGTCGTCCCCCCTTCCACGAAACTAGTCCCTGGTCCCAAAAAGGTTGGGGACCACTGACCTAGAGGGTATTACACTCTGAAATTAGAGAAAGACATGCACCATATGATTCCACTTGTATGTGGCGGAACCCAAAGAACAAAATAAACCAACAAAACGAACAGGCTGGTAGACACAGAGGAAATGGCTGCTGGGTGGGGGGCTGGGTGCGAGGAGGGGGTGAAGAAGTGCAAACGGGCAGTCGCAGAACAGCCCCAGGGGGGTGCAGTGCAGCGCAGGGAATACAGCCAATAGCTCTGCAATGACTTTGGGCCCAGGTGGGTTCCCTGAAGTATCAGGCAGGCACTTTGTGAAGTGTAAGATTGTCCAACCACTATGCTGTACGCCTGAAATAATACAAAGTAATACTAGATGTAAACTGTGATCGGGGGGGAAAAAGGGAGGGTGGGCATGAACCTGGGCTCTTCCCACGCATGCTTTCCAGCTCCAGATTCCTGCGGCCAGGAGAGAGCTTTTCCAACCAGTGAGGGGAGAGTCTGCTGGCCACTGGGGGCTGTCTTTGTCATTGTGTGACTGCCTTGCTGATGGTGACCACTTTCATTTCTGTCGTGACGTACCTCCATTTCCTGATCAAGTGTCTCTGGCGCACAACATGGGAGGAACAGCTCTGGAGGCCGGAGGCACCTGTCCCGGGCGCTCCTTGCGACCACGCCTCTGCCTCCCTCTGCCTTCCTCTGCAGGTGTTGATCCTGCTTCCTAGTAGAAAACATGGCAGCCTTCTGCTGAGCAAACTTACACATCAGTCTCACCTCCGATTCTTCCGAACAGACCTGATGGTCCTTGGCTGCCCCAGGAGGCTGGCTCCCCAGCAGGTCTGAATGAGTGGTCATGGCTAAGGGCAGAGCAGGGAGAGGAAGTCAGTGGTACCAGGGTCAACGGCAGGGAGCAGGCTGGCTCCCTTGCAAGGTTCTCTGCTCCTGGCTGGTTGGCAGGCCTTGCCTCACCAGCGGGCACAGGCACACACACAGCACTGCCTCCAAGGCCAGTGTCAACAGCCCGAGTACAGGACTCAGGGCAGAGCGCCTCCAGGAAAGGCTGCCCTGGGGGGAGAGGGCAGGAGCAGTTTCTGCCTCTGCTGACAACATTGTCTCTGATAAGGATCTGTGGCCAGAGCAGAGGCAGGGCCTGCCCTCCAGACCAACCACATCCTGAACCTGGCCTGAGGGCTGAGCCTGGGGCTGGATACTCACTTGTCTTTCAACTTGAGCCTATCACTTCTCACCATTTCAGTTCTGTCCAGGAAAAGCAACTGTAAGTTGCTTCAGGTTATCCTGTCCAGCCAGCTCACGGAACACAATGAGGTCATGCTTCCTCCTCGTTTCAGTTACATGAGGAAGCCCTGACTCAGCCCGAGAACCGTGCCCACCGGGGCATCCTCTGACAATCCCCAGGGCATGCGTGCCCAGGGGTCCGTCGAGTTCTGCCCCCCGCCCGGAAGCCCCTCGGCCACCCCTTGGTGGGTGGGCGGGCCACATCTACCAACCCCGTCCACACCTGTGCCCTAAGTGAGCCACTGCCCGAGTCCGCCCCCGCGCTGGGGGTCAGGTGACTGGCACCGGGTCCCACGCCTGTGCGGCCCAGCTCCCAGGGACCTGCCCCACACAAAGCCGCTTCCTATTCCTTTGAGTCCCCTGGGTCCTTATGCATATTCACCCCCCCCCCCGCCCCCCCAAAGCAAACCACAAGCTCTACGTCGTACGAAGGAAAAGGCTTGCCGATGTCCTCTTACCAGATACCCGATGACTCCTGGCTTGACTCATCTGGTCTTTATTTGGCGAAATTTCTTAAAAAAAAGGTCTCAATTCTGTCAAAAAAAAAGAAGCCTTTACCATGGACCGAGCAGTGCGGGAGAAACTTTCCTGAACGGGGTCCAGGGCAAGTGCCCCGCTCGTCCATCCAAGTGAGTGGTCAGTCTTGCCCACAAAATCAGTCAGCAGATGTGAAGTGTTTTTAGCTTTTCTTTCTGACGCCCCCATTAAATAAAGTCAGCAGATGTGAAGTGTATTTACGTTTTTATTTAGGAACAGTCAAAACATTCAAAGTACCATTTCGACCCATTTCAAATTGTACAGGCAGTGTGTCCCGGTTGCCCTCCCTTATCCACATCCACAGATACAAAATCTAGGAAATGTGCAATTTGCATCTTAGAAATAGCAGCATCCCCACAGGGGACCTTGTGAGGCCTGGAAGCCGCCCAGAGGGCAGCCCCTCCGCCCACCTCGGCACAGCCGTCGTCCAAAGGCAAGTTCCATTCTTCCGTTGAAACCATTTCCCCAGCCCAGACCCACAGGGCAAAGCGGGCCGCTCCCGTGTGCTCGCTCACACTCGGCAACTGCGGCAGAGGGGACCCCCGTACACAGTTTGGTAATGTTTTCGTTGGCCTCTGGCTGAACAGAAACAGGGCAGCTGCCTCTTAGCACCAAGATGATCACTTCTTCAGTCGTCTCCGGGAGACAGGAAGCCCCCAGCTCCAGCCAGTCCCCTCCTCACTTCTCAGCAGCCCGCCCTCCGGAACAAAGGGTCTGCGCTGAGACCAGAATCGACTCGGCAGAAAACCAGGCATCAGGACTGTCGGGAAAGAATCTGCAGGACGTTGGCAGCCTCCCCGACTTCCACAAAGACTGCACTCAGTAAACCTTCAATGAACAATGGCCGCAGGGCAGAGGGGAAGGTTGGCGTGTTTTCTCTCTTTACTAACAATTATGGCACAGTCTGGCCCTCCTGACACAGCTGAACAAAGCAACTGCCCAGCAGCACGGCGGGAACTCCTCCACGCAGGGGCGACCACCTCTCCCCTGGCACTGGCCCATTGTCGCCAATCAGCCGGGTTTCAGAGCTGGGTCCCTGTTCAGGGAGGGGTGGTGCTGGCTCTCCCTACCTTGGCTGGGCTCCAGCCAGGCCTGCATTTCAAGTGAACTGTTAGAATGAGACAGCTGTTACGGGCAGGGCCAGGGGTGAGTGACATCATCTGTCTTTAAACACAAGTTACAGGACTAACAGGTACCACGCGGGTAGATTCTCACCCTAACAGTGTGTCTAGGCTGGGGGTTGGCTTGGGAAAGACCGTGCACTTGGAGCTTTTTATATTCAGTGACTGAACAACTTCTATCATCCTAGACATCTCACCTTCCGCTCCAGTCACACCGAGTACTCGTAAACCCTCCATTAATCAGGGAAGGGAACAGAAGGCATAAAGCATTTGCTGAGAAAAGCTCCGCATCAACACACTCAAGTGCTCACATGCGCACGGGCACGCAACAGAGCCGCTCCCTGACAGAAGAGGCCCTGACGGCACAGGTAAACACCCCGACCCCTCTCGGGAACCCTGGCCGGCCACTCGCCCGGAGTGCACAGCAGGAGAGACAATGAAGCAGCCAGAAGGGACGATGCCCCCAGCCCCAGCCCCGTGGCCAGCCCCAGCCCCATGGCCAGCCCTCCGAGCTCACCCCTCCCTCCGCAGGGCCCGCTGAGGCCTGAGCACAGCATCAGGGACTGGTGCTGAGGGCTGCGAGAGCCTTGGGGCTGGTGACAGCAGAGCAGACACTGTACCTACTGTGTGTATCCTTGTACGCCTGCAGACCAAAAGGTCTGTTTTAAAAAAAAATCAAGGCCACAGGAGCTTGCCCTGTCCCTGTCCATGTGGTAACCAGGGCCCGCCTAGTCCATCCCAGACTGTGGATTTGGGGGCAGGCAGAGTGCTCCACTGCTGTTGGCTCCGGGCTGTCATGTCCCAGGCTGGGAAGGACTAGGGTCCCGTTCAAAGGAGAGGCCAGAGGTGCTGGCAGGTCACAGAACGGCCAGTCTTGACAAGTGGGCTCAAGACTAAGGAACCAAAACAGCAGACTGGGGTCAAACACCGCTGTCCACGGCTGCTGCAGATGCAGCCCCACCCTCTTACTGTGTGACCTGGCGCTGCACGCACAGCTGAGCTGGGAGCGAGCCAAGCAGCACCCACCACAGCCACTTGCCTCTAGTCCCTTGGCCCAAATCCAGACCCACCCCTCTGCTGAGAAGCTGCCCCAGCCTCTGCAGCCCTGGTGTCACAGCGCTCAGCAACCACAAATGGGCCAGAGAACCCAGCACGGCGGGCACCTCAGATTGAAGCGAGGTTTGAGGGGGGGACTACTCGGGAGACGGTGTGGGCTCCACGTCCCCTTTCCCAGCTGTTGGAGCATTGCTGAGGGCAGGTGCGCCCCAAGCCACACGGAGATGGCCCCCAAGGTCTGACCAGGAAGGCTGGGAAGGCCTGTGCTCCTAGGGGAAGGCCTCGAGGGAAGCTGATCCAGGGGACCCCACAGGGGGAGCACCCCCATCTGGAGTGGGGAGCACTGTGCCCCGTTATCCTCCTGAGCCAGGCAGGCTGCCAGCTGTGCAGACAGACCGTCACACGTCTGAGGTCTTGCCCTCTCCAGCATACAACTGAGCCTTGCAAATCTACGGGATACGTGGCCATTTAAATTTCATCCACAAGGTGAGTCAAACTGATAACCTGCCCCAGGTAAACTCTGAGCAAGGGAAAGGAGAAAAAACTTGAAGAAAAGCCCAAACTCCAGGTTTGGTTTTATTTCAAATTTTCTTCTTGGCTGGTCCTCCTCTCCGCAAAGTGCCTTCATCCACTTGGGCTGCGGTGCTCGAACGGACAGAGCGCTCCAGTCCCCACGTTTTGGTCCAAGAAGAAAACAGGAAGACGAGGCGACGGGGCCCAGAGAGGGCAGCACAAGCAGGGGCTGGGGGGCGGATGTGCAGAGAAACACGAGCACCTGACCAGAAAGGCTGACGCCCACCCTGCGTGGGGCAGCAAGGGGGGGGGTGCAGCCTGGCACTGACGTCCCAGAGTCCGAGGAAGGTGACACCGGCCTGTCCTCGGACCACTGGCCACGCAGGAGCAAACCCCAAGAGCCGCATCTCAGCCTGGAGAGCACACGGAGACTTCCTGCTGGGACGCCCCCGCCCCCCCCCGCCCCCCCGCAAGCGCCAGGCCATTCGTACAGGTGGGAGCCCGCCGGCCTCCACCCAGCACTCTGCCGAGCTCCCACCTTTTGTTGTTGTTGAAGAGCAGGGTGCGGAGGCCTTGGGTGGAGGCGCTTTGGTCCACCCGAACAGCGGCTGTCCCCGGCCAAGAAAGGGGCCGAAGCCCGAGTGCCGCGGGGGCCCGAGCGCTGGCGGCCCTCCCACTGAGGCGGTCCGGCCCAGGAGCCCGCAGCTCCCGGTGACCAGGACCTCCCTCATCAAAAGGCCCCTCGAGAGTCAATGAAGCAAGTAACCAAAACATGCAGAGTGCAGGTATCATAAACCCAGCTTTCCTGTATCAGAATGATGATCTGGTTTCCCTCTTAAACCTGGATCTACAACCCCGTGTGGAAAAATAAACCAAACATGGATAAGAAGACATAGGCAACAAGAAACAGAAATACTTCGCTGTCTTGACGAGTCCAAGTGCACCCTGAGGAGCAGGGAGATTCGTCACCTCACAGAACAGGCTGGTGTTTCCTGAGAGACTCGCCCCCCACCCCCACCCCAACTCTGCAGCCTGTGCACCGCCTTCTGCGGCAGCAGCGTCGCAGAGCCCACCCCTTCGGTGGCTCGCAGAACCGCAGTGATCTGTACGGTGACAGGGCCGCGAGGCTGGCTGCTGCCGTCCCAGCTCCCGCGACACTGTGGGTGCAGTCCCGATTTCTGGGCTCGTGGGGCCGTTTCTCTGCACCCGGCTGGCTGTGTTCCAGTTCTGCACCCGCACCAAAGCCCTGGGCACCTGCAATGGCCCCTTAAGCACCAGCTTGATGGCCCGGCCATCTCTGACCGTCACATTTGATGTTATTCTCTCAAGCCTGATGCCCACACCCCACTTATTCACTCCAGTCCGAGGGCACAGGGAGGAGGAAGATCTGTCCACTCGCTGGCCCCTTGCCTGGGCAGTCTTGTCACTCGCTGCACGGCCCCGGCTGGTGGGCAGGGCCAACAGTGTGAGAAGAACCTGCCAACTTTTCCACCTTCTAAAGCCGATCTGGTGCCAAGGTTGGGTCACTCTCTCTGTCCTGCAAGAACGTGTCCACCATGTAATTTATGTTTTCTGTCTTGCTGTTTGGGTTATAAATGAAATGTGAATACAAATAACCAAGACAAACATCTCTAAAGACACACTCCTTCAGCCAGAGTGTGCGGGGTGCCGCGGTGACGCCACAGGGTGCGTCTCAGACACTGGAGAGGGCTTCGTGCCAGGCCACCCCGTGCTCCCAAGGTCCCGACCGGCATTCCCTCAGTACGGGCTCCTCTCCCCGACGCCCACACGCCACTGAGTCCCTCGAGTGCACGCGTCGGATGTCCATTCCACGAGCAAAGCATCAAATGAGTATTGTACTGTATATGTGTATATATAAATTAATCTGCTTGTACATAAACCCTAAAGGAAAAATTCCAGGTGTCTTTCTGAAGGAAGGCATTAACTCACCATTCTTGGCAATTCTGCAAAGAGGCCTTTGGGGCTAAATAGCTTCACACCCCCAAATGGAAAGGATACAAAAACAGGGGCGAAACTTGCAAAGAACTCACAAGTCACCTGTTTGAAATATAAAAGAGGTGGTCCCTATTGGGACAGAGAGGGCAGAGGAGACATTTCTGCAGAACACCAGTCTAGGGCTTTTGATTTGCAAAACAAGCCCTCTCCTGGCAGGGGGAGGTGCTGCTGCCAGCATCCTCATCCTCGGGGGCAAGCCAGTAAAGGGCCGTGCACGGTCCACTTCCCCGGGTGGGGTGGGGTGAGGGGAAGGACCGCACCTAACCCAGCACCAGTGTTTCTTGCCTAAAGCTTCTGCCCTCTCTCTGGGGTCTCCTGCTGCTGCCCACCCAGTCTGGGCCAGGTGGGGCATGCCCACAAGGCCTTGGGGCTTTGGGAAGCAGCACGTGGTGTCCAGGTGAGCAGCGCTGCAGAGACCCCTCTTTTCGCCTGCCCCACTGTTTACCTGCTGCTCTCAAAGCAGCCAGTCCTGGGGAAACAGTTACCATCCAGTTGAGCTTTGTAATGTAAGCAAGTTTCCCAATGTTTCAAAGGCACCTTTTCCTGTGATTTTTCTCAGTTAAAAAAATGGATAGGAGGGTTAGGCTAAGGTAGACGGACATCTTGTCTCCCAGTTTGCAGCTATAAGTACAGACCTTTGAAACTACGCATCCTCACCAAGACCTGTCCAGTTATGCCCAGCAGCCCTGGGTGAGTGCCCGGCACAGCAGCCGGGCCCTCGGCGTGGGGGCCAGGAGTACTCTGGGTGTTCTGCCAGGAACCCCCACTTGCAGGTCTTTGTGCCGATAATTCCAGAAACTCTCGAACCCCATCAGTTCTCACTCTCGCTACTGGGCAGGGGTGGGTCTTCCTCCCCCAATCGCAGGCGGCCTTGCAGGGAGTCAGGGTAAAGGTCTCCGACCGCCACAGCGCCCCAAGCTGCCGGCTGGGGCCCTGCATTTTCACTGTGTCCCCACCCCTGGTTCTGTTTTCAATTCTCCTCTCACTCTAAACAAGCCTAGATTTCTGTTTTGAAATGCGGGCACACAGGTCAGAACATGAGGCCGAACAGCAAACGTTTCTTTAGTTGATCTGATAACTGAAAAGCAATGGTCCATGATTCAGATTTCCATGAAAAAGCAGAGTTCCTGAAACACGAGAGGGGCAAGCATCAAACGCCAATCACATCACCAGTCCACCTTCAAATGCGGTAACAGCGGGTTCTGCACGGACTGTCCCGTCGGGCGAGGCGAGCCCGGCAGGACATTTTACTGGTCAGCACTTCACGGAGCAGAGAGCTCCTCGAAAGCACTGCCTTCCCCGGGGAAGACCAGGGGGCCCAGGGCTCCGGGTGTGGTCTGAGCGTGCTGACGACCCGGCCTGACCCCGGAAGGTGAGGCACCGTGGCCCCGGTAACGTCCAGAGAGCAGACACAAGGCATTTTTAGAGATGATGTAAAAGATAATGCACTGCTTTGCTAACCAAGGCTTCTATGTAATAAAAGTGTTTACAATCCAATGTTTCATTAAATGTGTACAGGCGGACTTACATGTTAAAAACGTGATTCTGTATCTATGAATATGAAATCCGAACTACTTTATCCACTGGAAGGCAAAGGAAAGGTCCTACATTGTGGGAGGAAAAACTGATGAAAACTCTGCTCTCCCTTCTTGCTCGGTGGTGGCCGAAGGCGACAGGGCAGGATCTGGGCTGTCTGTCTGTGAGGCTTCCAGAAACTCTGTGTGCACCCAGAGGCCAGCGTGGGAACCGATGTGGCAGCAGAGGTGGGTTGGGCCCTTCCACGTGGCAGGCGGCATCCCAGACTGGCCAGTCCTTCACAGTGATCGGTTCAAGTTCAGTCTGTCTCTGAGGAGAAAGCACATGCCTGTCACCTCCGTGTCAGCTGCCCCTGGGGCAGCCTCACTGGCCTCTGGGATCTCTTGAACTCCATGAGCTACAGCTTCCTGCCAGCCACCCCCCAGCTCCACGGCCCGAGGGAACGTGAAGAAGGCCCGTGAGTTAAGGACTCAGGCTGGCTACAGCCGGCAAGGGGCCCGCACCAAACCCAGGCCCCGCAGCTGTGCGGGGCCTGTCTTCTCTGGGCCCCTGCCTTGTCCCCTGGGCCCAGCTCCCCAGGCCGCCGCCACCTCTGGAGTCCTGTCCTAACAAACCCACCCTCTCCTGCCCGCTCCCTCTGGCGCTCCAGAACACAGCTCCAAAATAACGGCAGCTGGGGCTACTCTCTGATGTGCATTCTACCGACGCCTTCACTCCATTTCTCAGTCCCCACCCTCAAGCCGAAGGCAGTGGGGCCGCTCCGAGGGGCCGCCACCCGTGCTGCTCACAGATGGGGCGCCGCGCGGAGGCCGAGGGCGGTCAGGGGCAGCCCCAGAGACAGGCTCTGCCCCCACCCGTGACCCGTGTTGGGGAAAAGAGGACGTGGCCACGGGTCGGGCCACCCCTGCCGCTCCGGCTGGGTCCCACCGGGACGCAGCTCTCCACTTCCTGGTGGGCTGAGCAGCTGAGGGGAGCAAATACTTGCAATCCAGACCCACTCACCCCACCCCAGGTTAGCTCTCTTTAAAACTGTGGTACAATATACAGACCATAAATCCTGCCATTTGTAAGTGTACATTAAATGGCATTAAGTACATTTAATTTACAATGTTGTGTAACCACCACCCTATTTCCAGCTGCCCAAGAATATAATTTAGTTAAGTTTTAACTTTAAAAAGCAAAAAACCCCAAAAAACCCCAAACAAAACTAGTTTGTTCTAGTCCCCAGCGATCTGTGCTGCTCTGCCAGCACAGCCAAAGCCCAGGCGGACGTCCTCCGGTGGCAGGCCCGGTGCAGACGCCAGACCTGCCCCTGGTCCGCAGGTGCCCCCTCCCAGGGGCCTGGGGGAAACCCAGGTTGAGCCTGGAAGCACCGACTTCTCACGGCCCACAGACCAGACCCTCAGGGAGCCCAGACACTCCTTCAGTTTCCAGAGGCCCCGAGAGTAGCTGCATTCCACGGCTCCTGGCTGTCCTGGAGGGGCCTCCAACGGGGTGGGGGGGGCCGGGCTTGAGGCTGGGAGCTCAGGGCCCGAGACCCTGGAAAATCAACACCCGATCACGTGACTTGTGGCTTCAAGAAAACCATCTCTAATAAAATAATCACGTCGAGTTTCCTGTCAAGTGCCAATAATACTATGAGCCAGCCTTTGGCTCCGTAGACATCTAAGAGGGAGGAGGGTTTCGCATCGCTTCTTCACCAGGGAGAACAACTGGAATGCAAATTACAGGATCTCCACCATTAAAAAACCGCTTCATGTATCTAAGGACAAGTAAAGACTCTCTTTCCCCTTGTTCACCAATTTGAGTTGAACTTCCTGAAAAGTCCTATCACTCTCTCCTGTCCCGTGTTCGTGGCTCTGCCTGGCTCAGGCGACGTTCTCACCTGTCCTCCTAGTGCCAAGAAGCGGCTAGAGAAGTTTGGACCCTTGCAGGTTCCCTATGTTCCTTCCCATGCGAGTTTAAAAAAAAAAAACATGAAATGAACAACTCTCAGCCCGCTGTCGTGTTATTCTCTGATGGCGTCTCCTGCCAGCTGCCCAAGAGCAGCCAGGCAGCCTTCGACACAGCAGACGCCCTCAGGCAGCATGTCCAGGGCCCACCCACGGGGCCCCTGTCCATCCCCACGGAGGACCACCATGGCTCCTGCGGTCTCCTTACCCAGCTGATGTCCGGCCTTGGGGCTTGGTGTGTCACAGGGCTCTGAGCTGGCCTCAGGGGCACTGGGCTCCCACGGCCCACTGTTCTCAGACACCTCTGAACAGGTCTCCCCTGGACCTCTGTGAGCGGCTGCAGGGTCACCGGTGCCCTGGTCCTCGCTGCCTGTGTCTGCCACGGCCCGCGTCTCCTCACCCATTTTCTCAGCAAACCACTGCTTGACCTGCTGGGGGCTCATCTGGGTCTTGTCGCAGAGGCTCTGCAGGTCCTCCTCGTGGAGCACCTTGCGTGTCACGTAATAGTCTTGCAGCAGCTCCCGGTTGCCAGGAGCGATGACCAGCAGCCCTGGCGGGAAGTTGCCCCGCTTGTAGTCTTCGTACCACTTGAGCTGGCCGTTCTTCAGGGCGTACCTGCTGTCGCCGAACCAGCGCACCACCTCCGGCCGCGGCAGGCCCGTCTGGGCCATGATGTTGTCGTAGTCCTGGGTGCTGGGCCACTGCGTCTGCACGAAGAGCTGGCGCAGCACGTGCCGCTGCTGCGCCGTCTTCTTGTAGCTTACCTTGCCCGGCAGCTGCGCGGCCGGCTTGTTCGACCCGTCCTCTTCGGGATCGCAGGCGACCAGCCCGGGCAGCTCGCTCTTGCCGTTGGCTTCAGTGACCCGCAGGTTTTTGAGGTTGATTTTGATGGGGCTGACTTTGCGTTCGGCCAAGGTGTGGCTGCCGGGCACTTCTGGGGAGCCGTTCTCCCCAGGGACTCTCAGGTCACAGGGGGACTCCTCTGCTCCACCCTCGTCCTCGGCGGCCTCCCCCTCCTCCGGACAGGCACTCCCATCGGCCCTCGTGGTCTCCTCGGCATTCACTTTTTTCCGTCTCTCAGAAAACCAGCTGTCGATCTCTCTTCGGGTCATTTTGGTTTCGGTCCTCAGACGGTCCAGTTCCTCGTCGAGAGGGAGGGGGTTTTGTGCAAAACTACTCTCCAGGGCTCTGAGCTGCTCGGGGGCTCGCTCCTTGTATTTGGTTGGTGTAAAGTCAGGAGTCTGGTGCCAGGACTGTCGTTTGGCACAAGGGTGGGTGGCCAGGGTGGCTACTGTTGGGAGGCAGGTCACCTCGGGAGTCTTGGGCGCTGGGGAGAAGGGCACCTCTGGCATGGAGTCCATGATGATGGAGCCGGGCTCTCCGGGCACCAGCGGCCGGGAGCCCTTCAGGTTCCGGCAGTGGTATCTCCGGTCGCTGAACCATTTCCGCACCTCCCGGGTGCTGAGGCCTGTCACTTTGGTCAGATGCTCCACTTCGCTCTGTCCCGGGAACTGGTTCCGACAGAAGCTACCTTTCAGAGCTGACAGCTGCTCGTGAGATTTCTTGTTTTTGTAGATGCTGGCATCGAGGAAGGCCTGGGAAGTTATGCTGGGGCATGCCGTGAGCAGCGACTGGGCTGCGTTGACCACCTTCACCGCCGACGTCGTGTTTGAACACACGGTGTTGATGGGCGCCACGGCTGGCTGCTTGGGGACGGAGGTAACGGCCAGAGGGAGAGACGAGCTTGGGGCCTGCAGCCCGTTGGCCATCAGTGGCTGAGTAACCAGGAGTCCCCCTGCCGTGCCCTCTGGCTGCCCCACAACATGGCCCGGGAGGGCAGCCTGGATGAGGTGCTGGACGTTGCCAGCACTGGCGACCAGAGGAGTATTCAGAACGGTGATTGTGGGCTGAGGGACGGACTGAATGACCGTATTGAACATCTTTTTCCGGGCGTCCTCGATCTCTTCGGGGGACCAGCTGATCCCTTGTTTCAGCCTCTGGGCCGTGAACCAGATCTTGAGCTGTTCCTCCGGATACTTGGTGACCACCGTCAAATAGCAGAGCTCGGCTTTGGTCGGGTAGGGGAACTTGTGGAAAGAGTTCTTCAGAAAGCTGTTGGAGTCCATGGCTGCATTGTACGTCGGAATGCTGCTCAGGGGGATCATCACTTTGGGAAGGGACTTGGCGGTGGGCAGGGGCTGGTGGGCGTGGTGCTGGGCATGCACGGGGGGCTGCTGCTGGAGGGACAGGAACTGGGCTATACCGGCCGGCAGAACTGGCACTGTCCCCAGCAGGGGCCCGTTGGCCGTATGGGGAGGCTTGGAGGAGCTGGTGGATGCCTGGGTGACCGGAACAGCCCCATTGACAAAGGAGTGGTCCCCCTCTTTCACACCCTTTTCCCCAGCTGGCGTGTTTGGTAAGGCCTCACCAGCGGGCTGACTGGGGGCGTTTTCCTTGAGCGTGTGAATTTTTTTGGCTTCAGCTTTGCCTTTCATTATCTTCATGATTGGAGTTTTGGTGATGATGATTTCAGCTTGTCCGTCGGCCCCATCGGCGCTGGGCTCGCCCAGTGGGTCAGGAGTGCTGGTGCTCTCGGGGACGCTCTGCTCCACGATGACATGATTGTCTGGCTTGGCCACATTCCACACAAAGCTGGCTTCCCCCAAGTGACACTTAGCGTTGTGCAGAGAAAGCCCCTCGGGGGTTTTCGCCAGAAAACTGCACTCAGTGCATACAAAAACTGGGTCTTTATTGAAGTCTGTGTGCTTGGAGTTCATGTGCCCCACAAACTCAGTTATGTCCTGGGACCTGAAATCACAGTATTTGCAAGAATACGAATAGCCGTCCAAAGTGCTCCGATGCCCATTGGCCAGCGTGGCGCCATCGGTGCTGCTGGAGGTCTGGGCAGCCTCGCTGCTGGTGGCAGGCGCTTCTGGCGGCAGGTCCTGCGAGGGCCCTTCGGGCAAAGCCTCGGCGGGCTGGGCCTCTGCACTGGCCTCCTGCAGCGCCACGGTCTTCACAGGGATCATGCACGGGGTGGTGGACTTCCTCTTGCTGGCCATGGCAACACGCGCTCTGGGTGGTCACTCGGTGAGATATTGTCCCTCAAGGGCCTCACAGTCCGCGTCCCAGCTGCTCCATGAGGGCCAAAGAAAGTTTCCAAGGGCGGCTTTTCCAACTGTTTGCAGAAAGCAGGTTTTCAGTATTGAACCTGAGGAGGGAGACAAGAGTGATTACTGTCTCTTAAGCTCGGTGTGTTTCTAAGATACCCAGCCCCCTCCACCGCCTGACTTCAGTTACTGGGACCTTTCCACGGGGAGTTCAGCAGCAGCCGGGGTGTCAAATTTGAGTCAGGAGCCCCCCAAACACTGACAAAATGGTGCCCTGAAGAACAGCCTGGGGATGTCCCAACACCGTTTAACAGACTTCAGCCATGTGTTTTTATTTCATATCTCCCTCTGCATCATTTCATTAAGTAACTCAAATTCAAAATTGAAAACGCTAACAACAAAATAACCCTCCTTTGAAACACCAAATTAATTCTGACCACGTCCAGAGGAGAACAAAAGATCCTAGTGTAACTCTTGTTTAAATGTTTGGGCCAACCAGGGTTTTCTTTTCACAGCCTTCCCACACAGGACAACACAAGGACGCCTCCGCCTCCGCCAGGCAGGCAGGGCCAAGCCAGCGGGGGGGCGGAGGGGCACGAGCTGGCTGTAGGAGCAGGGCCTCTCTCTGCGGCCCTTCCCTGCCTGCTGCCTGATCAGACACACTCCAGGCCACAGACCAGGGGCCCCCTCACAGCTGCTGGCTGTGCCCAAGACCCGTCACTCAGGTGAAGCCAAAGGCTATAGGGTCTTGGGACCCACGAACCCAGTTTGTGGCCCAGTCAGCTATGTGTTCTCTCTCTGGGCTCAACAGTGTAACGTGTGGTCTCACCTTGGTACACATGACCTTGCATTGTGCTTACTTTTTATTTCTTTCAATGTCTTCCTTAAAAATAAAAACTCTTAAGTCTTTGATGCATCTGAAATTTATTTCAAAAGCTGGGGTGACTGATTAAAATAATTATTATTACAATTCTTTCTTTAGATGCCTGGGAAAGTGTTAGTGTGATCCCTATTATTAACATAATATCACTATAATCGTTACCTTTCATTTAGCAAATTGTAACGCTGCTAATGATTATAATAATAGTAATTCTAATACCAAAATAATGTTGTTATCACTGGATTTGATATACAAAAGTAAAAAAGATTAAAATATCTTTATTCAAATTCTTAGTGAATAAACACAGCAAACTATTTTTCTGTTTATAAGTCTAATGCCAATGATCATAATAAAAAATAATTACAATTAGACTTCTGGCCAAGATGGAGGCATAGGTAGACACACTGTGCCTCCTCGCACAATCAAGATAGGGACAACAACAATTTAGAAACAGAATAACAACCAGAACTGACAGAAAATTGAACTGTATGGAAGTCAGACAACCAAGAAGTTAAAATAGACACATTCATCCAGAGCAGTAGGAGGGGCGGAGTCGGGCAACTGGGCATGGGTCACGGCGCAGAGAGCAGAGAGCATTGGGACTGGGCACATAAGGCATCCTGGGCGCTCAAGACCACAGCGGGTGGACCCTGAGCTCGCAAGCGACAGCTGGCAGACCCCGGCTAAGGGGTGGCAAATGGCAGACCCAGCGAGGTGGGAATTGTGAAGCAAGGCACTGTGTGCAACCCAGGATCCCAGCGCTGGGAAATAGAGCCTCGGGGCACTGATTGAAAACACCTGTGGGGGTTGAGGCGCACAGAGAGAGACTCCCAGTCTCACAGGAGAGGTCCTTGGGAAGTCCCACAGGGTGCACAAGCCTACCCACACGGGAATTGGCACCAGAGGGGCCCAGTTTGCTTGGAGGAAGCAGTGGAAGGGACTGAGGTCCAAAGGAGAGCAGAGCAGGCGCCATTATTCCCTCTCGGACCCCGCCCACACATACAAGGTCACAACCCAGTGACTGGGGTGCCCCACCCTGGTGAACACCTAAGGCTCTGCCCCTCATATGTAACAGGTGCGACCAAAAGGAAAGACCAAAGGGGGGAAAAAAAAAGATGGCTCAAACAGAATTGAAAGCCCCAGAACCAGTATTTTTAAGCGACTGAGAGATAGCCAACCTATCAGATGCACAGTTCAAAGTACTGGTGATCAAGATGCTCACAGAATTGGTTGATTTTGGTCACAAATTAGATGAACAAATGCAGGCTACAATAAGAGAAATGAAGGAAAATGCACAGGGAACCAATAGTAATGGGAAGGAAACTGGGACTCAAAACAATAGAGTGGATCAGAAGGAAAAAAGAAACAACCAAACAGAAAAGAATGGAGAAATAAGAATTCAAAAAAGTGAGGAGAAGCTTAGGAACCTCCAGGACATCTTTAAACGTTCCAACATCTGAATTATAGGGGTACCATGAGGAGACGAGGAAGAGCAACAAGTGGAAAACTTATTTGAACAAATAATAAAGGAAAACTTCCCCCATTCTGGCAAAGGAAATAGACTTCCAGGAAGTCCAGGAAGCTCAGAAAGTCCCAAAGAAGTTGACCCAAGAAGAAACACACCAAGGCACATCATACTTACATTACCCAAGATAAAAATGAAGGAGAGAATTGTAGAAGCAAGCAAGAGATAAGGAGACAGTAACCTACAAAGGAGTTCCCATTAGACTGTCAGCTGATTTCTCAAGAGACCTTACAGGCAAGAAGGGGCTACAAAGAAGTATTCCAAGTCATGAAAGGCAAGGCCCTATACCCCAGATTGCTCTATCCAGCAAAGCTTTCATTTAGAATGGAAAGGCAGATAAAGTGCTGCTCAGATAAGGTCAAGTTAAAGGAGTTCATCATCACCAAGCCCTTATTGTATGAAATGTTAAATGGACTTATCTAAGAAAAAGAAGATAAAAAAACATGTATAGTAAAATGACAGCAAACTCACAATTATTAACAACCACACCTAAAACAGAAAGAAACTAAGCAAACAACTAGAATAGGAACAGACCCACAGAAATGGAGATCACATGGAGGGTTAGCAACAGGGGAGTGGGAGAAGGAGAGAGGGGGAAAAGGTATGGAGAATAAGTAGCATAGATGGTAGGTAGAAAATAGACAGGGGGAGGGCAAGAATAGTATGGGAAATGTAGAAGCTAAAGAACTTATGGCACATGGACATGAACTAAAGTGGGGGAATGTGGGTGAGAGGGTGTGCAGGGTGGAAGGGAATGAAGCAGGGTAATGGGACAACTGTAATAGTATAATCAATATATTTTAAAAATCATTACAATTAAAAAATAGGGTAAGAAAAGAATAAACACATGCCCAGGATCTAACCACCTGTCACCATTTCCCCTACCAACTGGAAATGTCAGCACATATTTTTTTTTACTTAATTTTTTATTGTAAAGATAAAATGTCAATATTAAATAAAATTTAAGAGAATTAAACCACCTATAATTTAGTATAGCCTTCCATCTAGTGCAAATATTTCATACATATTTTTAATCATGATGGACACACACTTGTATTTCTTTTCACTGAACATGACATCATAACCATTTTCGTTGAGTAAGCTTCACAATTGTAGCCTTCAATAGCTGCTTCGTAACGTATCACTATGGACTTAACTCATCCTCCTCTGCTACTGAACAGGCCCCCAGCATCCCTCCCTTACAAGTGACAGAGAATTGATCTCTGGGTATATGGCTGTATTTCTTCTGTTAAACTATTTCCAGAGGCTAAATTCACAGGAATGTATTTATCAGCTCAATGAGGATCAACATTTCTGAGGTTCTGCACACTATTGACAAACATTTTAAGTCAAGGGCTTTATAATTCCAAACCAGGAAAACTAAGAATAATGCAGGTGTGTTTCCAGTGAGCAAATCCAATTTCCAGATAAATCACTGAAGACATAAAGTAGCTGAACGCACAAGTGACATAAGAAAAAACGTATGAATTAGACTTAATCAAAACTAAAAGTGTTTGCATTGTAATAGGGTCACCATCAAGAAAGTGAAAAAGACAATCTGGAAAATCAGAGAAAATGTTGCAATCATATATCTAATAAGGAGCTTGCATCCAGAATAAAGAACTCTTACAACTCAGCAATGAAAAATCAAAAACACCAATTAAAAATTAGGTAAAGGATTTGAAAAAACATTTCTCCAAAGAATATGTACAAATGCCAGTAAGTACCTAAAAAAGTGCTCAATATCATTAGTCATTAGGGAAACGTAAATCAAAACCACAGCGTCAGCAGACACCCAGTAGGAGGGCCACCATCAAAAACAAGAACAAGGACATCTGCGCGGGTGAGGGTGGAGAGAAACGGACCGCGTCACTGGTGGTGGGGATGGAACGCTGCGCAGCGTCTGCGGATGGCTGCACGCCCCCTGCGCTCGGCCGCTTCGTCTGATGCACGGAAGTTTTAAGTCTGATGGAGTCCCATTTGTCTATTTTTGCATTTGTTGTCAGATCCAAGAAATCATTGGCAACCCAGTGTCATAAAGCTTTTTCCACATGGTTTTTCTTTTTTAGGAGTTTTATAGTTTCAGGTCTCATGTTGAGGTAATTTTCAGCTCGCGTGCAGCAAGAGGCGTACTGGGGTGCAGTACCTGACTGTGTAGGCAGGGGCCTGACCTCTTTTCCTTTAGGTTGTCAAATTAAAAAATGCCAACAGCCAGCACAATAGCCATCTGGTGTGAATGAATAAAAATTACACCCATTTTTTGTCAGATAGGCAAAAAATATATATATTTTAGTGTGCCACAGCATTTTATTAGTTTATGTGTGCCGTGAGATGAAAAAGGTTGAAGATCGCTGGCTTAGGTCTTTGAGTTAATTTCTGCAGATGGCACAAAGTAACGGCCCACCTTCACTCTTTCGCATGTGGCCACCCGGTTTCCCCCACCGCTTACGGGAAAGACTATTCTTTCCCCATTAGGTAGCCGTGGCACCCTGGTGGGAGACCGCTGACTGGACACGGAAGAGTTTACCTCTGGGCTCTGTTCCGTTCCACTGGTCTGTGCCTGTCCTTCTGCCACATTACACAGTTCTGATCACTGTGCCCTTGTAACACAGGTTTGGCAAAAGTAGGTTCACAGCTGTGATTACAGAAAACAGCTTGTTCTTGTGTTATTATTTATTAATTGATGTATTATTTTC